CAAAAATCCGCCGGCAAAGAGGTCTCCAGCTCCGGTGGCATCAATTGCCTCTTTCTTCCCGGTTGCTGGTACTCGCACAACCTGAAGTTCATATGCATCTCAACCCATCAAACAGCGAGCAGGAAAATATTGAACGGCGAACTAAATCTTAACCCTCACCACAGAAATGAAACAGTCCAAATACACCACATATAATAATACTACACGTATATAGGCTCATCAAATCTTGGATTTTGTTTTGTTGGTTGTCTTGTAACCACCAAGTTCATTATTTGCAACTACTGCCAAAAATATAGCGAAGTAAACAACAAATATAGCATAGCAAACATATATTTGTATCCACAGATTGGCATCTTGTAACCAAAGTGGAAATTGTCATGTTCAACCAAGATTATGAAGTGGATAATGATTGACATGAAAAAAAACTTGAAAAACTAGTCAGACCAAGGATTATTAGCCTTCTATAAGTGGCCAAGCTTATCCAAGTGAATAAGTAAATCACATACCTCTTTTCCATTCTTAGCTAGGCATCCACTTGAACCCAATGTCACCACAGCCCATTTGCAGTATTTTGACAAAAATTCAAGGGCTACCTCATAATTGGCATCCTCTTTGGCATCCTCTTCACCCCTACAAGCACATCAAGGAGAAACACCATTGACCTCAAATTTCACCAACGATTGCAAGATTCCAATGTAGAGCTCTTCATAAATGTAAACTACATATTTAGTCTGAGGATCCAAAACAATAGATGAGAAATTTAAGCTACAATAACCTTAGTAGTTCAATTGCTTCATCCTCATTGGCGAAGCATAGATCTATGTTCCTTGACTCTAGTAACTGCAGAAGTGGTAACCTAAAATTCCGTACCATCTGCTCAACAGTAAGGTCAGCAGTGAAGTTAGGGGTTGTGGCACTCATACTTAAAGGTCATGCTACACTACAGATCTCATTATAAACTGAGTGCTACACCACAGAGCTTAATATAAACTGATATTGGAGGTGGCTTAATATAAAATTTATTGCTGTCCGATAAGAAATGACTTTCTTTCAGGTGTTTATTCCTGATAACAACCCTAAACAAAAAATGCATTGAACGGCAGGGGGGAAAAAACCCGAAAAGATACTCTGTTGGTACAAAAAGTGCTTCAAGTGAAGAAAAATAGTACCTCAAAACTGGCTAGATCCAAGGAAACAGAAAGACCTTCTTCCTTAGCCATTTGGATAGCTGCCTGAATGATGTCCAAATTAAATATGGCATATCTCACGACCAACCACTGTAAAATAGAATAACAGAATTAGGAGTTATTAAATGCACTTCATCAAACACTGCATTGCAATGGCTAATATTCAAAACAAAGTTTGTGGTACTATTAATCATTAGTTCAAAATGATGGAAATATGAGTTTGAAGAACATAGAATTAAAGCAATTGAGCAAGAACTCCAACTGCAGTCAACAAGCATTTTGATTGACAACTGACATAATTCTCATTATGACGTCGATGTGTATTACCTTGGAGCCTCTGAAATCTTCTTTTTTAAGTTCATTTGCCTGTCAAAAATTTAGGAAAATGAGGACCACAGGCAAATTCCTCCTCACCAAGCAAAAACCTCTATAAATGCCATATTACTAGTATCTAGACTGAAAACAGCAAGTACCTTAACTTTCACAGCATCAGAGAGGCATGGCCTCATTGTGCGATTGCCACGTTCATCAACCAAGCAAACACACTGCAGAATTAGCATACAAGATTTCAGCACTCTGGAATTTTTTAAGAAATTTTTATGCATTTAATTAAATGCACAATGTAGATGCAACAATAAACTCACCTGAGCTGTTGGACCACTCTTCAATCTCAATCTGGACAAATCAACTTTGTAAGAGCTCATATTAGTCCTAAACAATCTGCCTTCTTCATCATCACCACAAGCCCCAATTATTCCACAATTTACCCCGAAGCCAGCAGCAAGGCCTCTAATAGTGTTTGCAACACTGCCTCCAGCCATGGTTTTCGAAGAAGATGAATTGTCATGAGAGGAAAGAATATGGGTGTTTACCTCACTCAAGATACACTTCAGTTCCTCAGCAGTAACCTGTATACAGTAGAAAGGGAAAAGATAGAAGCTTTTACACAGCCGGACAATTATATTGAACAACTCTAAATAGTTCTCAAACAGCAGTGGGAACATCCAAGTTTGATGTTGAATCACTGGTTTTACATCCTAGAACAATGACAGGAAGAAAACCACAAACAAGGGAAGGTTGACACCCAACCACACAGAATACAACCATTGTACTTATATCACCAACTGACAACAATATATAATACAATGGACGAGTCACAAAGACAACCATCGTATCCCAACCACATCTAGTTGAGATCAAATATCTTCCAAGAAAGAACAATCAAAAGACTACAAAAGCAGCCCGTCTAATCACGAGATGCTGTGACCTCATGGTTTAGAAATAGACAACATGTTAAGCACAATGAATCCTAACAGTAAATGATATTTTTTTTTTGGCTTACGGAATGGTATACTCAGTAAAACAGGAATTACGTGCCTCCAATTCTCTCTCCCGAAATGTTCTACATCAGTGTCTGGTGAGGATTCTGCTTCTAGTCCATAGTTACCTTAATGACTAATAAACTTAAAAGCCAAGCACTCCTTGGAAACCAAAAGTCCCATCTAAAGAATTCACCTGAATTTCAGCTCCAGTGATCCAATTCAGCAATCTAAGTAAAATTCAATCTTTCACTTTAACTAAAAACAGAGACATTGTTTGGGCATGCATCAATTCAGTATTCAATTAAGTTTAGAAGTGTTTGAAAATGAGTGAGTGAGAGAGAGAGAGTACAGGAAAGGAGCCACCAGGCTTGCCGGAGATTTCAGAAAGGAGGAACAAATCAACTTTAGCTACGTGGTCAACCAAGGCGGCTGGTTGTAGACCCAACACCAAAGGTGGAGGCCAAGTAGCACTGGTTTCTTTTCCAGTCTTGTTATAGTCCCTAGGCTGAAATTCAACACCCATCTCTTCCTCTTCCTAGATTTAGGTAATCAGTCGGCCGATGAATGGTCCAGATGAAGCTTCCCTTCCCTTTGGGCGCCTGCACTCCGGCAATGGGACGTTGGATCGCCCTCCAGCCTCCTTCCCAGCTTTCTATCTACTCTGACATCATGGTATTTATAGACAGGCCCGACTACTGAGAAGCGACTGAACAAAACAATTATCAGATGTTGTAGTGTGTAATTTTTTTTTCCCTTTTCTCTTCAGTTCTAAATTTTTTGGACTAATTAAGGGTTACGTTTTTTTTTTTTTTTGTACTTTTATCTTTTCCATCTTATAACAGAATAAATAAAAACAAGAGGTCATGCACTATTGTTTCTTTTGTCTTTTCCCCTCAATTATAATGGGAAATTTTCAAATTTGGTACAAATTGAAGTAATAGTAGCCTATAGTAAGATGTACGTCCTTGAATAAGAATAAAAATTTTCACCTATAATTGCATATTTTCATTTTAGAAGTATCTCGACTTCAAAGATTATTCTGACTTTTCTTTTAAATTTTTTTCATTACAAATGAAGTTTTTTTTATTACAGGTAAGATTCGAATCCTCAACCTACAATCCAAAGAAGGATTTAGTCATACTAGCCCATTCGTGTTATGTTATGTGGTTGTGCAGTACAGGACCTGATTTGGGCGAATTACCTAGAAGCCATGTACTTACTATAAAGTTAAACTTGGCAAAAGGATGTGGTGGAACATTTTTTTTTTATTTTAATATTTTACAAAAAAAAAAAACTTCACTTGATTTGCTGATTCTTTGTGCATGAGTAAAGCTTTTTATATGCTCGTACATAATTGTGTTTGTTCACCAAAATCCACTTTCAACCAAAAGTACCATTAGAAGTGAAATATAGTTTAATAATTTGGTGCTACATGCTAAGATTGGACTACTGGAAGCAGCATAATCAAGGCTTAAGGACTCCAATGATGGTGGGAATTGGGCAGTAGTGTACATGACCATTTTTATTTCTTGGTCGAGGAAAGTGGGCGGCAGGATCATATGGAATTAAACTACATTTGTTCGTTCGACTTGCATTTCCTGCGTAGAATAGCAGAATCTATCTCATTGATTTTCGTTTGAAGAGAAGATGATTCATACATGTTGTGGCTCATCAAGAACTATACATGAACTATTCTCTCGATGTTGTACATTTCTTTTTCTCGTGTAGCCTAGTAAAATTAGGACACTCTGGAAAAATGATCAAAGAAGCTTCACAAAGGGTTTTGTCTCTTGTTATTTGGTGGTTCTCCATATCTTATAGTATATATATAGGATAACATGCAGATATTCTTCATCCACCTTTCAACACTAATTAACTCGGTTCTACATCTATTCTTGGTTGGTTAACTACTACAATGTCGAATAGGGCAGGGAGGTTTTAGTTATTCTCAAGATTTATCCTAATCCGGGTTAACCTTTTGTTTATGCTAGTTGTGGGGATTCAAATCAAGAGGAGATGATCAGCCCTGCACAAAACAACAGTACTAGCTAGAGATCACATGACCAGATTCTAACGTAATAGCCTCTAACGGAGGATATGGCCGAAAGAGCGGATGGATGGATGTAAAGCCACCAGCTGTATACTTCCATCAGCTACTGCAATTTTGTGTGGACCAAAGAAAGCAGCCCACAACTTTCTTGATTTCTTGGACTCATTTTGTCTTGGAACTTTATCCATAGGGAGGCAGGAGGGAGGAAGATGGAATAATTGAACAATAAATTTTTTTTTTTTTTTTTTGAAAAAAGTGCAGAGCCTGGGAGACCTCAATTATTTGAGATGTTGAAATATTTGTGGTCATTGTTCTTTGCCTGGAAGTATATTATACACTAGGAATTAAGAATAGCAGGACTTGAGATGCATCTTTCATCTAAAAGTTTTAATTAGCTTTAAACGAAAAAAAAGAAGAAAAGAAGTCAATAATAGGAAGACAGGGGGTCCAATCCACGCATACAAGTTCAATTGGCAAAGAATCCAGGAGAGCCAAACAAATAAAAAGATTCGAATCATGCATGCTTGGAATGATTGAGAGGACAAAGGACAAGCCCTTTTGTTTTTAATATAGTCCAGAAAGCAGCTGAATTTCCGGGATGGCTCATCTTCTTTGCCTCTTCCTGCTCCAGTCGGCCAACACTTTTCAAGATTCCACTTTTGTTATTCAAACTTTTGGATACGCAACAATTACAGGGAATATGTCAGTCCTTCCACATAATTATAATTTACTTCTGAAAGAAGAAGAATTACTAGTAGTTTATTAGTACTTGCTATTTGTTTCTCCAATCATGCTCAGGCTGATGCACATGGATTAGCCATTAGATCCTGCTACAGCTATAGCCTAGCAGGCCGGGTCATTTTAGCAGCATATGGAATAATTTTCAGGCAGCAATTTGAGGTCCACAAAAAGTATTCACTACAACCCCCCTTTTTTTGTCTTTTTAATTTTCTTTTGGCGTTAAGAATTAAGAAGAGATGAGTTTGAGCTGGAACTAATCAAACAGTTTGACATACAGCAAAAGAGATAGTAGTAATTTCGAAGTATAACTGATCCACACTGTCTGATAAACTTCTCCAGAACTTAAAAAGGATCAGATTGGTCGCTCAAGATTGGGACGTTAGCTCTACAGGATATTCAAGAATAAGGAAAACAAGAGAACGTTAGACGTTGCGTAAAATAAAGGGTATCAGCCAACAAAGGGCGGCTATTCGTGCATATTGCTCCGCAACATTGGTTTCTCTCCGGAGAGGAAAAAAGCATCTCCGGAGATAAAGATTAGCTAGCTGAGCCAGAAGTTCAGATGCAAGTGTCGTGATGCATGAATCTACCCTTAAAGAAGTCTATAGTGTTATTCTGGAAGGAGGTGACCGACCATTTCCGGATTAGATATTTGCAGAGGATAGCTTCTACTGACCATGAAGCCTCGAGGGGCAAGCGAATAGGTGTAAACATACTATCAAACTAAAAAAAAGATCTTACTGGGTGCCCTTTTGTGGTTTATCTGGTAAGATGTTATCTGGAAGAACGAGTTCTGGTGGAGTTTCACGAATAACTCCTAGCATTGAATCATACTCCTCGTCACGGCGAGAATACTTCTTGCGAAGAACTTTCTCAAATTCAATCTCATCAAAGGATTTTGCATTTTCAGCAGCATGGACCTGTGCTAGGTTGCAGTAATTGGTTGCAGATTGGGATATAAAGGCTATCTCTTCATCACTGAGCTTTCTGAGGACCTTGGCTGGATTACCTCCCCAGACCTATGGCAAATTAGCAGATATCTCAGACAAAGCTGACAAAGACTAAGACTTAAACGTCAATAGAACCATATTTAAAAAACAACAGCATCAACATTACTTTCAAAAGGAGGAAAAGAAAAAGTAAAACCATTGAGCTCTCCTTTTAAATTTTGGAAAGAATGGGAAAGATTAAAATAATTGCCTGTCCACTGGGGATCCTCATGTTTTGCCTCACAAGGGCACCCGCAGCAACCATGGCATGCTTCTCCAAGACTGCTCCATCAAGAAGCGCAGCTCCCATACCAACAAAAGCCTCATCCTCAACAGTACAGCCATGTAAAACAGCACTATGACCTGCGTGGATTCAATTTGAGTACTATACCAAAAGTCGGATAGGACTCGTGGGGAAAAATAGAAAGTTTCAATTTCTGACCATACATGAAAGCAGAATCATTAAACAGGATGCTCACCAATAGTTACATTATCTCCAATGATGGTAGGAAGCACTTTCCCGCTTAGATTGGATTTTGCCACATGAACAAGGGAGTTATCCTGTATATTAGTTCCAGACCCAACAGTGATGCTGTTAACATCTCCTGCAGATAAAAAGATGGATCCAGATGAAGGTTAGTGACAGATAACAGCATTCTCTTCCTATTTCTTGTCTCCTTTCTTTGGAAGTTAAGGGTGTAGAGGAAAATTCTTGAACCAATTTTGCATGTTAAATCTCAGATGAAAAGGGTGGTCATAAGTTCTCTTAAATGTTATCATCTTGTATTCTCAAACCCCGCTCCCCCCCCCCCCCCCCCTCCTTTTTTCTTTTCTTTGGAGTCGCATGGGCAGCAGAAGTATGCAATCCCACAGTGAGGGTAGCCCTATGTTCCTATCAAAACTTAAGCAGGCAGCAACATAATTTCTGAATGACAAATACCTTCAAGAACTAATCACCTCCACAAATTCAAAATGAAATTCCACAGGTCAGAGAGAGAGAGTAGGCAAAATGGTACAGTAGTGGGGTGAAGAGAAGTGAATGCAACTGGAAAGGAAAACAATCATTTACGTGCAAAAAAAGTACTGCCTGAATGGGCATTACTTTGGAAAATCTGGAAGTGGCATAAAAGAATGACATACAAGAATGATCACGATGAATACAAAGGAGGGTACTTAAAAACATATCTCTTTCTCTCTCTGGGCTTAGAAAATTGCATCCTAAAATTTCAGACAATGATGTGCACAGCTGCAGCAACCTTTTTACCCTTCTTGAAGGTTATTAATCATTTTGATATCTTTTTATTTTCTTTTCACACAAAGACCCTTAAGGACATGAAAACAAGCGTAATGTATCAGATCTTTCAAGAATATGTAGATTTAGTTTCTCATGCAACAAGTAACAAATTCTCGTTGCATTCTGATGGTATTAGAGCCCTAAAACTAAAAGAATACCAAAATCGTTCAAAAGGAATATCATAAGCAAATACTATATACTTTAACAACTTTCTTAAGCATCTGACTGAAGATAAAATGCAGCAATATTTCAAAATTGAATCTCCTTGTACAACATCAGGCAAACTTCAGATGTCTGCTTTCTTTTTTTACAATTAATTTTTTTTTTGGGCATGTCTGCTTTCTTCTTTTAACTGAAGGGCTAAAAAATTTTGCTCTCATATTACTGAGCAGCAAAAAATTTAGTCATAACCAATTGAAAAAATTAAGAAAACCAAAAATCATGAAGAGGGACCATATGCCACATGCAGAAGTTATATTCGAACTCTTCTTTGGTGTCAAAGTAATAGCTATGAATAGTCATCAACCAAGCAACAAAATGACTGAAAAACTGCTGTTGAACATCCTCCAGGCATGTAACAGTCTGAATTGCTATGGATATAAACATAATTTCTGAGTGAAGCACTGACCTCTCAGAACACATCCATACCAAATAGATGACCCTCTTCCCACTTGAACATCCCCAATGATGGAGGCACTTGGGGCTACAAAGGCTTCCTTATCAACCAGAGGAGCTTTATCGAATATGTTCATCAATGTACGGTGTCTAGACACTGAAGAACAAACAAGCGAGTAAAAATGCAGAAGCAAAATGCAGCTCATAAGAGAATTTGGTAATTGACATTTAGGGATGGGATAGCCAATAACTAAGCAAAAACTGGGCACAGAAGTGCATTGAATGAAATCTGAATCAACAGGCTTAAAATGTGCTTTGATTCAGAACGCTAGTAGCCAGGATACATATAAGTTGCCCTACGAGGGGCCTTAAGGTTACATTCATCCTCAAAAAGTGCAATTATAGGGTCAGGAAGTATTGGCACAACAAAGAAAATAAGTAAGATGAAAAAGTATAGGTAGCAAAATCTGAAGCACCAAGCATACATGTTCATCAAAGAAAAAACTAAAGGTCTAAAATCGATCCAAATGCAGAATGAAAATTTCCAGCACGAGTTCCTAACATGTACTTGAAACTACTGCAAGAGTTTCAACTAAAACACTTCATACTAATTAAATTTAGTATTGCACATTTCTATAACTTCTTTCCTCGCATTTCCTCATTAAATGTCATCAGAGAAATGGTTTGAACTTAACATCCCACATATGTATATTATGACACACATAAACCATGAGGCCATCTAACTCATTTGAAGGGGTGATCCATAAAATAGAATCCCTTCCTCTTTTTTTTTTTTGGTTTTTTGGTCACTCACCAGCAAAGAATTACATAATTCGCTCCCCACTAAACCGTCTCAGCAAGATCCTATTGCCAGTTAATTTGAGCAAGATTAAAACTTTACCGGAAAAAATTGACAAATAGCTCAATTAGCCCAACAATCTGAAGATAAACGAAGAAAAGAAATTTAGATGGGCGTCAACATTTGTCAACATTTGTACCAAAAGAAAGAAAAAAGAAAAAGCTGTGGACGCAAGTATGTTAAAGGTGAGAATGAGGTGGGCGCAACTTACATTGTTCTTGGAAATAATAATTTCCTTGGAGACGGCAGCCAAGGCGATCGAGGGCTTGACCCGTCTCTCTGATCCAAAACCCAACTGTATACACTGCTCTTCCCAGGGTTCCCATGATGATGATGACTCAGGATTGATAATCGATCAGCTCCTCCAGGAGAGGTGTTTTATGGGGTTTTTCCAGCTAAGACTAAGGGTGAGTCAGGGTTTTAGCCGTTTGGATAGGCCTTGGAACTTGAAGGGCATCTTTGGTAATCGGCATGCATAGCAGACCTCCTGTTTATTTGATGGAGTCACATTTCTCCTCTAATTTGTTCTGTTAATTGCAAAATAGGCTCTTGCACTTTCATGTGCTACATTGCTGCCATTACATGATACGGTCTTTCTTTTTCCCTTTTTCTTGATAATCATTTCAATAAGGTAAGCACTCGAAGTACCTCTAATCTAAAGCATTCTGATCACACTTTGTTTTGATTGCTGCTTATTAATAGCTTATTGGGACGTGCTTAGCAATCCATTTTAGACTTTTGGAATTTTAGGCGAACCTTTTTACGAAAATCCCCTCAAAAAAAGAAGAAGAAAACTACTGTTTCCCATAATTGAGATTTTGGGGATATATTTCAAAATGGAATGCAACAAATTTACTTGAAGTGTAAGATGGATGCACATTGAACAATTTCACCGTTTAGGTCCAGTACTCCAGTCTGGTTGGAATTTGGAATTGAATACTCGGAGTCGGAGGCATGTAATTTTTGTTCTTACAGCCTTTGGAAGTGCCAAGAAAAACTGGAATTGTACCAAGGAAATGAAGAGATTTCAATACTGTTTCACCTGGCTGAAGTGGTACAAACTTAAACACTCTGATATCATACAGACATGTTACCTTCACTTAATTATGCTACCTTCACTTGATGAACACATAATAAGAGAGTGAGACATGAAGCGTTGATTGAACTCCTTCAACGTATATTTCTACTGTTTTTGTATAAAAAACATAATCCGAATCACTTGCTTTTGTCAGTTGATCCATGTAACATCAAGGTACATAAAAGCTTCGAATGGAAGAGGCGTATGGCGATGGTAAATTCTCAGTCACACCAACAGCAAAGTGGCACAATGACTTTTCAAGGGTGTTCTAATATTTGTCTTGGATAGTTCAGCTCCTCATCGACTCCTGAGGCGGCTTGGAACGGTTGCCGCTACTGCGATATATGTCTTGCGGGTTTCTTGCGTTGAAGGATTCTACACTGTTGATATCCTGAATTTGTTGACTGGACTTCTATCCCCTAAGGCTGGAAGCTTTAGATGGTGTTCCGTTGCCAGCTAATGTCTCCGATGAATTTAGGCCTTTTATTCGGTGTCTTCCTGGATTCAGATTCTGGTGAGAGTAGCTCCTCTTTCACAAATTCACAAGATCTAGGAAGAAGTTAACAAAGTTTAGCAGATAACATAATCTTGTAAAGGGGTCAGGGATGCAAAACCGACATGTCAAATACAGAAGTGCTGTTAGTTTCTTCTTTGCTGATCGATTGTTGAGTTACAGATTCTTTCCAGTTTGACCTGTACTGCTATTAATGGATAGTACTGTTGTTTAGAACCCGTTCAATCAACGTCAATTTTTCGGTTCTGTCTCGAGCTGTTTCAATTTTACTAATATTAATCAAACCTTCTGACATATATTCTACTTCTAAATGTGACAACTTGGCATTCATCATTAGTTCAAGCGGTGACTTTTTGATCAGCATACTCTTCCTAGTATTCGTTAGTAGAACCTTCATTCTCAGTTCATCTAAACAAGTACAAGAAAAACGGAGTAACCCGTTGCATAAGAACATCTTATCAGACGGAGAAAGTGACTCGTTACCCTTTTCAACAGCGAAATGACCCCTCGGCCTAGGAAATTCTTAACACACTGAGGATTAAATATGCTTCTCATGATACTCATCAAATATTGCTAGTTTGTTCTTCGGATATGAAGAGGATTCCGTGGAGGTTTGGGAGAAAGTCTGCGTTCTATAGAGTCCTCTGTACAGCGTAGCAATACCAATGTCCAGGCTTTGAGCATTTCATTAGTCCTTGACTCGAGTTCAACAAGACATGCCAGATCGATTGTTAATGACAAAAGATTTTTATTGGTGCAACAAACTTCCAACAACTCAACACCAGAAGGCACAAGGTCATTATCAAATATCATCCCAATATCTGACTTTCTATCCATGACATCATAATACAAATAATAGTGTATACCAAACAGCATAGTGGGTTAGAATCTTCAAACATCACTTGCTAATTGTTTCTTAAACATGGCCAGCTAAAGTGACAAAAAGTCTCCTCCTACCACCCCCCCAACCCTAGATAAAAGCCTTCAGAAGACTTGATCAAATATGTATCACTCAAGTTTCTCCAACAAATGAGTGGGAGAACTTTTGTCTTGATTTTGTTCTTCTGGGCACTACTCACCATTGTCACCCCTATGCTTGTCCGCTTGTCCGCTTCTGCCAAACCCCACGTTGAATTCAAGGCCAAGGGTAAGAAAACCAAGAGATGTTTGTTGCTCATGTAATTTTTACACCTTCAGATTTCATTTCCAAATTCTTGTTTTTCAGAAGCAATATTTGGTCACGGGAAGAAGTAATTTTTTGTTTTTCAGAAGCAGTACTCTATTGAGCTCAATGCCAATTTGCTATAAGTTTGACTTATATTGGGGTAGCAATTAGTGCAAGGTCCTGAACCAAGAGGAAAATGAAGCATGATAATTGGCTTTGGTTTACTTTCTTGTAGGGGAAACACGAGAGGAGATGTACACTAGGAGGTTTTTGGAGATGTTGCCTAGAAGAGCACTTGTTCCTACAATGCTGCACAAGGCTCCATTGGCACCAGAGCCACCAGCTTCCGCACCAGCACCAGAACCAGAACCAGAACCAGAACCATCATTAGTAGTCAATGGCCTAGAACTTTTTGTAGATGGGGATAAATTGATACCCCATAAAGCACATGAGCTGCTGCTCAGATGAATTTGGTCCGGATTATTGAGCAAACCATCATGAGACAAGTGTTCATTTTTATTGAGAAGGTGGTTGGGCACGATTGTAAATAGAATGTTGGTAGGTTATTTTACCATAGAATTTTTTTTTTTTTTAGTATTCTTTTTTTCCCCCTTCCCTTGTGGTTATTCTCAACAATAAAAAGCACAGATAGAAAAGTATTTAAATTTACAGACTTCTATTAACAGGTTAATTTTGAGCTCAAGGGCAATAAGAGTGGAAAATTGAGGAAGAAATGCAATGTGTTTATATATATGAAAGAAAGGAATATATACAAATTACACATAGTTCAGTCTATATTAATTCCAAGATGTCATCATTTTCTTTAATCTTCTTCTTTCTTCTTTCTAATTTTTTTTTTTTATTCCCATCCATTAAGTTTTGCATTGGCGATGGATATGGTAAATATACCCTGTTCTTAAATTTTTTTAAAAAAAATCTAGATGGGCTCTAGTATTGGGCTGAAATACTACAATAAAACCAATCTAGATTCTTTAAGTTGGATGGGCCGCATGTGTGGCGTCCACCGTGTAAACAATGAGAACGGGGTCCTCCTTGTCCAATTCGTGAAGTAAAAGTAAATTTTTCTGTTTGGTTGGCAGGAAAATTGTTTGGATACTGTTAGGAATCTGTTACAAATCACCCCAAAAAGCCCATCGTCTTTATCATGTTCGGACAGTGTTAAAAATCTTGAGAGGAAGAATCTGGGTGAACATCTATTCAAATGTTTGGTTTATAATAATTATGTAACATCAGATTGCCATAAACATTCCTGCAAGCGTAATGTGGAATTGTTATTGTGAACCCCTTGTTTACATAATGGATGAAACACACCGTGCTTTAGTTCAATGGGGACGTATTTGAGATTATAAATAAACTTCCATTAAAGGTTCCTTAACAAAGTTTTGCTGTTGACATCATTGCTGTCTCTGATTAAAGAAACACGTCAAGAGTGAAATTCAAGCATCCCTAATTGAACAACCACCGGACACAATCATCACAGGCTTGGGTTTAACGTATAATTATGCACCTGCCACTCGACAACAAACGTCAAACTCTTAGTTCACCACAACGGCAATGGCACAGTTATGATTGCGTGTTGTCAAAGCTAGGGGTGCACACAACTCAAGCCGCTTGTGAGTAGCTTGAGTCGGAGGTCGAACTCGAGTTCAAAGATATTTCGCTCATTAACTCGTGAATCTACTCGATTATATATATATGTATATATGCAATGATACAGTTATAATTGCATATTGTCAAAGTTAGGAGTGCATACAACATGAACCGCTCGTGAGTCGTCCGAGTAAGAGGTTGAACTCGAGTTCAAAGATATTCCGCTAGTTTATTCGTGAACCAATAGTGAAATTACATATATATTTTTAATATTTTATTATTTATTAAGAAAAATTACTATTTTATTCATGTTTTTTAAAAATAAAATAATTATTATTTTTTATTTTTTTAAGCTCGAACTCGAGTTTTACATTGAGAGTTCGTCGAATTCGAGTTCGAGTTTGATAAAATTAAGCAGAGAATCGATTTGATTAGGGCAAAGCTCTTCTCTTTTGCAACCCTAGTCAAAGCCTATTCTTTCAATGGTCGCATTAGTGTTGTATTTACTGCCATGTCAATTACATTGGCCGATAATCCCACAAAGAGTCAGAAGTTATTAGCAGCAATTCACAAGATTGAATTATAAAATGAGTTGCAAAGTGATATGGCAAAAGCATTGTAGAAAGTGGAAAACGACTCGCTTCATTACTACCTCATCATTCCCACAAAGGGGCAGAGAATGTACAACACTAATATGGATAACACTCCTCATATATTTGAAACATGAGCTAAAAATATGAAGTAAAACCAAATGTAGCAGAAGTATTTAACAAAGATCATTACAAGACATTCAACACAAAGGCTTTGACAAAGTTTATCAGCCAAGGCCATGACCATATTAGAAGACCGATGAACTTCTCAGACGAATCGATCAAGGTAATCCTCGACAGTGGTGTACTTGACGTCAGGATAAAGCTCTGAAGCCTCTACACCAAAAGATGGCTCAATTGTAAAGTTGGTACTATCACCGTTAACCAGAATTGAATGGCGGATTGATAATGCAACATTGAGTGGAGTTGGAGCCTCTGCCAAGAAATGGTCCATCAGAAATTTAAACGCTAATAATTCATACAATAAGGTTTGCTAAGAAGAATAAGGAAATTGAAATCAAACTTCTTATCACCTTGGATGTTCTTCAGGACTTGTTCCTCAGGAATATATTCCTTCTCCAAAGTTTTACCAATCTTCTTCTCCCATATGGCCACTAACTCATTAAATGATGCAATATTCTTAGGAGGCATAATGTAGACAACTTTGTTCAATGTTCTTGGATCATCAACAGTTTTGATGGTGAAGGTGCCAATGTCATGTTCTTCATTGTAAACCGCTGCAATTGAAACATTAGAAAAAACATATATATGAAGCACCAACACAATATTCACGTTCTTACAGGATAACTTGGGCAGAGGATAAGAACATGATCAGGTGAAGTAGGTGAAAAAGAATAGCCGAGTGATATTGTATGCCATACCTTTGGCATTTCCATCTCCCCAGATGACAACTTTATCTCGTGGTGGAGCAGTGGCTCCTGGCTGTACCAAGGTTGCAAGAAAATATCCAGCAAAAGCGTTAGATACGAGAGGGGTGTAAGGGATCCCTGCTGCCTCGGTAGCTCTACGAATCCGAGACTTAACTGCAAATGCAGACTTGCCAGGCTCAACTGCATTTTGGCGATCCACATCAATTCCAAACTCTGAAGGGTAGAATTTCTGAGAATTTCGCCATATCATGTGTCAGAATTTGGGGATGACAGTTGATAAACTTGCACAAATTATACTCTAGTAAAATTTCTTTCCAATCTGCAATCTTTTTGTTGAATTCACAGATTGTCAAGATCACAATGGTTTCTCACGATGACTAAATCATCCTCAATGAACTTCTGCCCAGCAGATAGGCTAAAAATCAATTGACATTCAATTATGCAAATTGACCAAATTAATCATAGTTGCTTCTCCACTCTGAAAATGGGAAGTACTATATCCACGACTCACATATTATCAAGTTCTACGAACGACATATAGAACCCTCAAATACATGAATTTCATGTGGATTATCAAAATTTAATATATTTCAACAACTAAAACCTTTGATTATCTAAATTGCAGCGCTACAAATCTGCAGTGAGCATTCCTGAGGAAAATTGTGCTAGAGCTCATTAGCAATTACAGCATACATGTAGCAGTGTAGTGAAAGCAATGACAGAATAATCCAAGAAAAACAATAAAAGTAATCAATACATTCTCCTATGAGAATCATTAGTAACAAGACCACATAAACAACACACCTTGACATTTCCAGCTTCTTTAATTGCGTCAATGATCTTCCCCTGATCATTCACTTGACCGAAACCAACAGTTGATATGACCACATCCACCTGCTTTATGGCTTTCACTAAACTTTCATGATCATACAAGTCACCCTGCTCCAAGGAAGAATTCCAATATCAAGGACAAAAATATACATCACCAGCTAAAAGGGGGAAAAAATACTAATAATAAAGGAATCCCAATTGACGATACTCTCTTGGAAAAAATTAACGCTGCTTACATGAACCAGAGTCGCACCGGAGTTCTTGAAGCCTTCAGCAAGTTTTCCCTTAACAGGATCAGAAACGGTAGATTCTCTAACCAGAACAAAGGTGGGATGCCCAGCCTTAATGCTTGCCTCAACTATAAACTTGCCAATGTATCCCGTTCCACCAATGACCAAAATCTTGCTTTTTTCTGCCATTCTTGAATATTCGGAGATATCTAAAAATGAAGGGTTGTGGAGAGTTTTTTAACTGATGCAGCAGAGCAGGGAACGAATGAAGTGTTGGGACGTTGGCACACTGAGGAACTCTATTTAAACAGTTTGAGGATTGGTTTGGGAGTTATTAGAAAGACCTTTACGTCACTAGAAGCAAAGGAATCGATTGAGTTGTATTTGGTCGATGATAACGGTTAGGTACATCTTCTAGGTGACCAGTGAAAATATCTGTAATGATCTTATTAGCTAATCTTAGGATAAATGACATATAACTCTCTCGTGATTTTACATAATGTCATATGAATTTTTTAAAATTTTAAAATAACCACATAATTTACCTACATTTTATGTAAAGTGAAAATCCGATGGAATATATGGACGTTAATGAAACTAAATACCCATTTATTAAGAAAAAAAATAGAAAGGAATAAATTTGATAAGGGTTAATTTTTTTTATATAATAACGATAATGGGCCTGTTTGGAACCTGAGTTTTTTGGGAGTTTGTCTAAAACTTTACTGTAGTACACTGTAAAAGTTTTTGAAAAAATTTGTGTAAAATTTTTTGTAAGGTGAAAATTTTTTTTGTAGAAGTTTTTAAGAGGAAAAACCTTTTTTTTCTTTTTCTTTTTCTCTTTTTCTTTTTCTTTCTTTTCTTTTTCTTTTCTTCTTCTCTTCTTCTTCTTCTTCCTTCCCTTCCCCCTTCCCCGTTACCAGCCCCCCTCCCCGCAGCAACGCAGCACCCCCTACCCCTCCCCCTCTCCTTCCCTCTGCCGTCACCCTCCCTCTCCCCTTCCCCCTCCCTCCCTTTCCCCTTCCCCTTCCCCTTCTTTCCCCTGCCACTCCTCTTCTCCCCCCCCCGCCACCCCCCTGCTCTCCACCCCTTTTCCTCCACTCTCCTTGCCACCCGCCACCCATATTCCTCCCCTCTCCCCGCCACCCGCCACCCCTTTTTCTCTCCCGTCACCTCTTCTCCTCCCCTCTCCGCCGCCGCCCCTCTTCTCCCTCTGCCCCGCCAACCCCCTCTGCCCGTCACCTTCTTTTTCTCCTCCCCTTATCTATCCCTGTCACCCTCAGCAGCCCCGTCGCCCTCGTGCGAACAGATTGCAGCTCCCCTCCCCTCCACTTTTGCGATCTGGTAATGGGACCAGATCTGGTCGCGGGAGGGGGAGGGTTGCGGGGGACACACAAAAAAAAAAGAGGAAGGCAGTCAAATTGGGTAAAGGAGGAGGATGGCAGGGAGAGGGAGAAAGGCAAAAAAAAAAGAAAAAGAAAATGGCGC